AAAAAAAAAAAAAGGGGGTGGGGGGGGGGGGGGGGGGGGTAGGGTCGGATAAGAATACAGAATTTTTATGTGTATTCTGTATTTCTCTCTAATTTTTGCGGAATATAAGGCGGCTTAACAACATTTTGAAAAAAAAAACTTGGACTTTAGGCCTCAAATTTTTATAAGACCTCATAATTTTAGATATATTATTAACTCAAAAAAAATTTAAATCCTTTAAATTTTAAACCCTAAAAAAAAGGCCCCAAAAAATTAAGTATAGTCAAAATTTTTATTGTAATAATTTGGGTCTATGATTCAATTCATAACTTTAAAAATTTAAAAATTATAAGTTGAAAAAATAAAAAGTATTCAATAGTCAACTCAGTTTCCCCCTACCCACTCACACACACACACTCTCTTTCTCTCTCTCTCTCTAAAAGTAAGTAAAAATATTAAAGTAAGTTAAAATTAAACTTTCCCTCTCTGATAAAAAATAAAAACAAAAATTAAAGCAATTTTTTCTGCAAAACTGGCACGTCTTTTTTCTATCTCTCTTTCATAATAAATTAAAAATAAATTATTTTTTTTAAAAATTAATATTTAAAAAAATTAATATTAAAAATAAAAAAAGACCTCATTTAATTTTTTCGCTTTAGCCCTCAAATTGTCTTAGGTCACCCTGGCGGATTACCAAAAAACTTTTGTTTATCTACCCAATTTTTACGGTAGAATCGAGTAAGGTCAAAATATACAAATAATTATAAATTTGAACACTAAGTAGTCAACTTCAAAACAACTTATACAATTCGAAATACCCAACTAATTATTGTTGCCTTTTATCGTCCAATTGGTAAATGTTGTACTTTTGTCACATTTATTAATGCTACGTACTCCTTAAAAATTCAACAAATATATTTCCATCGTCAGATTCCCACTTCAACAACTTTCCACTATTTCAATACCCAATTTTTTTTTTTTTGGAGATTTGTAATCTTCATCGCTATTTTCTCATTAACGCTAATGAACCGATTAAAATAGTTGGAGGCAAAAGTGGGTGAGATAGTTAAAGATATAAGAATGTAAACATCGTGCAGTGCATTAGTTCACCACTATTATTTTTATAATCAACTGCAAAATGGTCAAATTCACATTTGAATTCAATCCAACTCCGACAACTTGCTTTTAATTTATCTCGTATTAGTATTACTCAGTCATTGCATGATCAAACGCCATGAATTACATAGTTTGGGCTTTTTTTTTTTCTCTCTTCTCCCAAGGACCAATTTATATTGTTGGCATGTTTTTTTATATTTCTGCCAATTGTTAAGGACATTTGAAAAAGCTTCCAAGTCGATGATGGCAGGTCTTCCTTATCTTAAAACTCAAAAGCATATTCAAAGGTACCAACAACCCTGCCCAACTCTATGAAATCTATAATGTTTATCACAAGTCATTCCGAACATATCCGTTGCCTTCTCTACCCGACAGGCACAACTCACACCATAGAATATATCTATTAAAGGTTAATTACACTTACACTGATCTGATTATACAATCAACTCTACTCTTATCAACATATATATATACTTTTAACAAAAGGGTGTACATGTCAACTTGCATATATATCAACTAATCTCTTTTTTGATTCATGTATCAACATATGTATTCACGTTGAAATTAAAGTATTTATAAGAGATAAATTTTTCATGATCTAACCTCAAAAAATTAACAAAATTCAAACATATTTTAATCAAATGACAAACCCAGAAGCCCATTTTTTTTTCTTGTCCGAGCACGTTGTGGCCCCCAAAAAGCTGGGCATGACTCCACCATCTTCCTTTCTTTATCATCAGTACTAATTTGGGATCCTCCACCAACACCATTCCATTTCTTAACGCTCGGTTCACATGGATGTTTTTTATTGATGACCTTCTGACCATTTCCATCATAGCATGTTAGTGCCAGATAGGATTGTAGAACATATCCCATTGGATATCCATGGATATTTTATGCACATGTATCTTTTTTAAGTTAATCGTCATGGGCGTTTGTGTCAACTTATACGTATTTTGATTAATTTCGTCTTTGGTTCAATCAAATACAAGTCATATACATCAAAATTAGAATATTTATAAGAAATAAATTTTTGAATCCAAAAAAATTAGTAAAATTCAACTTTAAGACAAGTGACAATCCTGTTATCATTAATGGTTGGGTTAACTTGGAGTTAGCGCACATGTATATCCGCGCCTTCTATCTTTTTCTTTGTTGAATGACGTGGAGCCGAAACAGATGGACGTGCTTTTGTACTATTTTTTTTGGAAGGTGTCTATGTACTTAATCCTTATAATGTTGGCACATTTTGATTTAATATTTAGTCCATTTATTTATTAAAAATGCATGTCCATGCATGATCCATAACTATCATTACTATATTTGCAATATTGGTGGATTAAAGTGAATTAAAAGTAATCCTTAGGCGTTACTAGTATTAGACATATGATAGTATCGGTAGAAATTCATCAATACAGTAAAATTCAAATACACCCTCGATATTTAAGTTGTCTAGATTAATATAAGTGATAATGATGATAAAAGATAAGTATCACATAAATATATCATCATTTACATTAATCTAAATAATTTAGATATCGATGATCTATTTGAATTTTATAATATATAATATATCTATCTAGATATTGATGAATTTCTTCTGATCCTATCATTTCTCTAATAACCAGATGATATACACCGAAGTTCGGCATTCTTTTGGACCCAAAATAATTGATTTTGAAAATCTGCTAGGCAAGCTAGTTGACTTATTAATTCTCTCATCGACTTTGTTTTAGGATATTCAAGGTTTTTTTTTATGAACAATGAAATTTGGAACTAGTTTTTGACCTAATAAACTATTTACCGTTGAATTAACCGTCAGTCCTATTCTTGTGGTACATTGCCAATCTCCCCAAATTAGGCCCAATTTGAATTGGTATGAACTGATTGTCTAACATGATATTATATTCGTATATTCACAGTATAAATATATGACATGGGAGAAAGGGCTCTTTTTGTGCCAATCCAAAACCATTTTCTATTTCTGATATCTCTATCTATCCATCTTCAAGGCTTAATCTCTTAACATCCTCTTCCAAAGATGCCTGCAATAGCCTTTGGACGCTTCGATGATTCTTTTAGTTTAGGCTCTTTGAAGGCCTACCTTGCTGAGTTCATCTCCACCTTGCTCTTCGTCTTCGCCGGAGTTGGTTCCGCCATAGCTTATGGTTAATAATCTTCTTATAGTTTCATCTTCTATCTTGCATTAACCTGTAAAATTATAGTAACCTATGCCCATGCAGACAGCAATCATGGCTTACGTACATATAGGAAAGACTAATACTTTTTGATGTTAATGACTTGATATGTTATGTTTTTAATCCTAAAATGTTATGACCGATCTTGGGATTTTTGGTTACAGGAAAGTTGACATCTGATGCTGCTCTTGACCCGGCTGGGCTTGCGGCTGTGGCTATTTGCCATGGATTCGCTCTCTTTGTGGCGGTCTCCATCGGAGCCAACATCTCCGGTGGTCATGTTAATCCCGCCGTCACCTTTGGGTTGGCTCTTGGGGGACAGATTACTATCATCACCGGCTTCTTCTACTGGATTGCCCAGCTTATTGGATCCATTGTGGCATGCTACCTCCTCAAAATTGTCACCGGAGGCTTGGTAAGTTATAGACAAACAATTAAGATATGGCCTATAATTCTTAGCATTATCCATCGATCTAATACGAAACTAACACGAAATTAATAGGCATGAGTCGAGTTTCAATGAATCTGGGGTCATAAATAGATTGACTCACTACACATGTTTTGTAAATAAATCATCACGAATTCGACTAACCACAATTCGTACACAACACTTTTTTTTTGGTTTCAATGATCAGGAATGTCCGAGTCAACTTATGTGTACCTCTATTAATCGTCTTCTTAGTTTGGTCAAAAGCAAACTATCCACACCAAGATTAGGGTATTCATAAGAGATAAATCTCTCATGGTCTGACCATAAGAAATTGTTAAAATTCGAATTCAAGATGTCTGAGCTTACAACTCATATATGTTATACAACCTAAGCTACCCATTGAAGTTATACATGAACGGGCCAAATATGAGTTGAATAAATTGAAATGACACGTTTACACTGTTTAGAAACACAATACAAAGTCTTTAAAATATGTCTTAATCAGAATCAAATTGTAGAACTCACAAGTGAGAGACGGCACGTCCCGCATCAACTGTACAAACGAAAAATAATAAGTTTTTATGTAAAGTTGGGACAAACTTCTTTAAACTTCAGTTTAAACTTTTGGAGTCGATTTGTATTCTACTTGCATATTAGCCCAAATTCTTACATCTAATATGCCTACTGATCATGACTTTTTTCAGGCAATTCCAATCCACAGTGTGGCCTCTGGTGTAGGAGCTATTGAAGGAGTTGTTATGGAGATCATTATCACTTTTGCTTTGGTTTACACAGTCTATGCCACAGCAGTTGACCCAAAGAAAGGTTCATTGGCAACTATTGCCCCCATGGCCATTGGTTTCATTGTTGGTGCCAACATTTTGGCTGCAGGCCCGTTCTCCGGTGGATCGATGAATCCAGCCCGCTCCTTTGGGCCTGCAGTGGCTAGCGGGGACTTCCACGACAACTGGATCTACTGGGTTGGACCACTCATTGGCGGTGGCTTAGCCGGACTCATCTATTCCAAAGTGTTCATGTGCCATGAACATGCTCCTCTCTCTAGTGACTTCTAAATGTAATTCGGTTAAATTGTAATAATTGTTGTGCTCAAAATCCATTTGCTTTTGTAATAAAAAGGAAGAAAAGCAAGTTTTTTGCTCTTTCTTTCTTGTCCCATTTTTTCTTTTTTCATTTTGGTTTGCAGTCGTAATTTCATATAATTTGCTGAATTTCCCCCCATTTTCTCTTATTCTCATACTTTGCCTTTTTTGGGATTCTTTGAGAGTGATTCTAATTATAATCGAAAATCTACAATCCACTACAAACTTGAGAGTGATTCTAATTATAATATTTCAAATTTGAGTGATCTAAATGTTATACGCTTAAAAATTTTAAAGAGTTTGAGTGTCATTTACTTATGAATATACTAACGAACATTGATGGCAGGGATCTAAGTGTTACGCGTGTACAAAATTCAGGAAATTTGTGTATAATATTTTAAATGTAAAAGGGTCTAAGTGATTAAGTAACAAACCTTAGAGGGTTTAGGTGTAATTTTTCCTAATTATAAATGTATTCGGGCTTTATCACCAAGAAATGGTTTTGTTCATTGCAGTTGCCAGGCTACAGGCTAGTAGTACAATGAAACATTGAGGCAGTGCTTTATTTTGAATTAGGAAGAATAATTATAATCAAAATCACAGAAAAATAATGATAGAAAAAACTTTCATTTAGATACCGTTAGCTTTCGAAGAAAAGAAGTTCCAATTTGTGTGATTGATTTTTAAGTGCCATGACCCTTGTTGCATACAGGAGTGTGTATAGTTTATTCTTCAATTGACCATCTCGTCTATGTAATCATGTAAAGCTTACCAGTTTGTGAAATTAAGAATTTCTTCATGAGATTTAAATCTAAAAATAGAAAGAAAAAGAGTTCATGTCAAGGTTCTGAAGGCTCTGGAAGGGGTTCTTTGACATAACTCCATTCATGTCCTTTCCATTCAGGCAGTTGCTGGATGACAACCTACATCAGACAAGAATAAAAGGCAGTTTAATTGTCAGAATTAGAATAAAAACTGGGCATTATGATCCAAATTGTGATGACATTCAATATAATTATATTTAACTCGACTCAACCGAATCTTGTCCCAAAATTAGCTACACAAATGTCATTCAATTAATGAGCGACTTGACCAAAAAGAATATATGGGCAATTTTTATTTTTGTTATCCTCATGGTTTCTGCAAGATCAATGTGATTGATCTAAAGACTTGGTTTTTCATGATTTCTTAAGCTTTTAAATCAGCTTTTAGAAAAATACAAGGCAAATAAATGAACTAAACTAGTTTCTTTTGATGAAATTCAATCTTGGGACATTAACATCACTATGATGAGGTGCTACCCTAAGCCCCCCCCCCCCAAAAAAAATAAAAAAAAAATAAATAAATAAAATCCAGCCACACACATACATTTCAATGTCGGTTATATATCGGTATCAGAGATCTATACCTGTTTTGGTAGTAGCTTTGAGGGACCACAACCACTTCATCAGAACAGAGACAGCATTTGAGAAAAACCCACTAACAATCTCTGCGGAATCAGCGCATATACTCATATATATAGCCATACCACCAACGGGTGATGCTCAAAAATAAAAACAGATCAAATGATGGAAGTTACAAGAACTACATATATAACAGAAGAATCTATGTATCAAACTCACTTGCAGGTGAAGAAGTAGCTGAAGGTGAAGAGTAACTTCCCAAGAAAACCAGAAGTACGAGTATGAGAGCCAAGACCAGCACATTATTACCCATGACTCTCATTCTGTCCGGAAAATCCAAAGAGAGTTTAGCTCTGATGATTCAAGCTCTGCATTCTATGAAACCCTAATTCATGTGGGTTCTTGTGTAGTAGAGAGGAAGTGAAGAGTGGCTTTTTTGTGTGGGGTTTTGGTTTTTCAGCTTGAAGAGTGAATGGAATGGTGGCAAAAGGTGATAGAGACGAGAGAAAATTAGAGAGAAAGATAGAAAAAAAGGCAGACCAAAAGCGATGGAATCGTATGCTGTGATTATGTTTGTCTTTGAATCTAATAGTGGGAAGATTATAAGTTTTTGTTTGGCAACAAATAATTTCACAAGTCATTTGGGATGAGAGTGAAATAATCTTTAAGTTTAGTTTGAGTTTAATTTATTTTTTAAACAAGTTGGATTTGAATACTCTTTTAAATTTATTTTAAAAAATAAATTTTAAAAATTCGTCTCGTTTATATGCAAAATAATTGAACTAGTTAAGTTCAGCTTACCAAATTTAAATTTTTTTTTAAATTTACCTGAAAAAACAAGTTCAACAAGTTTAGTTGGATTATTTGCCGTACATGAGGCTCCATGGGCATAATTGTTCGGATTTTTAAGAGGGAGATTGAATTTATTGTGTGTTGAATTATAGTGTAGAGTCTGATCTTCTAACATTAATTAATATTATTTTGATGCTCTAATGTTAAATAACATATCATATATAAAGTAAAACAAATCTAATGTGGTAGGTNCCCCCCCCCCCCCCCCTCTGTCCCTTCCTTTTTGACAACTCAGAAACATAAGAATTTTCTGCATAATGAATAGTACTTGCTACTTCAAATTGAACATAAAACAAGGAAAGAGAATTAGTACAAACCAGGCCTCTGGAATCTGTTTTCCCAACCATAGTTTGACAGGCAAGTCTCCAATTTTTTGGATTCTGCCATTTCGCGATAGCACAAGTATTAGCCTTTAACCATTATGAGCACAAATCACCCGCCATTCACTTCCTAATATCCACCAAATGATGGAAATGACAAGTGATAAAAACAGATATATCTTATCGACTACTAAATACCTTTTTGAGTTTTTCCTTCTCCTTGTCTGTACGAGGGCTTAGTAGTTCCTTCCCTTCAATAACCTGACAATGAGTCAAAAACTTGACAAGATAAAGATTGGATATCACTTAGGATGTGAACTTTTGATTCCACAATATTAGATCACTTTCAATATCATGAAAATCCACCACTAATAATAACAACAATATGAATAAAAGAACAATAATGGGGCATTGATATGGATTGGTGATCAACCTCAACAATGCATGTCCCGCAGGTTCCTCCTCCTCCACAATTCAGAAGAGGTCTAGCCTGAAAGATTGAAACACACGCAGAAGCATAGTTAATCAAGCAAATCTCTAAGCTCAATGAACTAAATGACTCTTTGGGAGAAAAGTTCACTGCACTCTTTTTAATTTCTTATCAGTAAGTAATCATTTCCTGTTATTCATAACAAATCTGAATAGGAAGGGCTTACATATGGTCCATACAACTCGATATTTGAATCCAACATAATGTCCCTAAGTTTCTGTCCACCACAAGCTGTTCGAAAATGCACATCTGGTGTTCCATCAGGAAGCAAAACAGGCTGAAAACAAACCCAATTTGTAAACAATTAAATGCCACTGCCACTAGGATTTATAATGGTTAATAAACTTCTCTTAAGTTATAAATTATCGCACGAAAAACAACCAAGCTCTTAACTCACACTGATAAATGCAAAATTGACAGCAGCCTGTTCTTGTTCTTCGGACACTGCATCCTCTGATTCACTCTGGGGGATAGTCCCCACAGCTCTGATTTTTCCTCTGGAGAAGCTGAGACGTTTAGAGGTTTTAATGGTTCTGCAATTGGTGGCTCTGTTGTTCCTGAAATTGTAAGAGACTGAGAAAGAAGCTAAACCATAAGAGTTGAATAGAAGTGTTCCCATTTTCAGGATACTCAAAAGGAGTATCCTTTGAGATAGTTGCAGTGGAATGGATATTTACATGGTTATCTGCAGGAGGGTGTTTGTGGTTGTCATTCATCTTATCCAATGTGACATTGGGGTGCCAATTTTTTTGGTGGTTTCTTCTTTCTATGAAGAACAGATGGAAAAACTTACAACTAGCTACTTGGAGGTAAGTTGTTGATTTAATCCATTATTGTCATTGGAGTAGAAGTGGATCACACTATTAAATGGAGTCTATAGTTAATATAGTGACAAGAAGTTAAACCATATAATTGAGTCGGTAAATTAAGTCCAAATAACATTATATAACTTCCCCGACTTTGTGCTCAAACATGTGGCCATTCCACGTCACCAGCCACCATTTGACAAGTAGCCTCTTCTTTTTCCTTACCTGAGGAAGTCCTTATCTGGTTCTTCAAACTCGTTTTTATTTACCCATTATTGACAGACCGGCGTAAAAAAAAAAAAAAAAA